TGTGAAATACACTTCAAAAATACCCACTGTAATTCCTTTACCAACCTTATACAATCTCAATCACATCTTTATGCCAACAAACAAAAAACAAATGCACCTTTTTTAAGACAAGCAATGAGAGACAGCTACCATTCACTCCCCTAATTTTGCTTGTACAAGCAATGAGACACACCTTTTTTACGTCGAGAACTCTTCCCGAGTCATTCGATATTAATCCCTTCTCAAAACGATCCTGCGTGGTACAGGAGGTAGGATAATCCATGTGTTCCTGCCTAAACCAAATGCCACAATGATCGACATATAGCCACATATGCAAAACAAGCAAGAAGACAATTGCTCCTAAAACTGAGAACCACTAGAATTTCCAGCCTTTGCTGGGACGCCACAGAGTTATTTCTCATGTTCTAAGGCTCATATAGATATAGCTACCTGTAAAAGGTTATAGGATCAGTATTACCTGTCTTTGCTGTACATCTATTTTGTTTTCTTTCATATTCCTATGGACAAGCATTCCTGCAATGCAACAATAACCAAAATACTGAAATGGGTTAGGTAGATCACAAGCATCACAAATAAAACACTGATTTAAGCAGTATTGCTCATTGATCTGCATTCCATTACCTAAAATTTAAATGTGAAACTAGAAAGATACAATAAAGGAAGATATTATAGTGGACGACATGGGCAAAGAGTGGCTATCCATCGTTTCTGATTGAAAATAAGTAGGCGTTTATGAAACACAAATGACAGGATGGCCCATAATTGTCACTTAGAGGCTGAAAAACTTCAATAGCTAATCAACAGAGGCCGATTCCTTCTGATGAATTGTGACCCATTCAAATGATTATCATGTGAAGGCCATGTTACCTTTTTCTGGAGAAAACTTAAACAAATCAACAAGGCAACGGACAATTATCCTCATTGCCCACAACACCTTCAGTGGTTCAATACAGCATTCTGAAATTTGAGCTGCTTCCCTTTAAACTGTCTTGATATGTCAGCCTTATCCCTTTCATGAATTGGCATTTTACACCGTTTCATCAGAACGTCAATCACCATATATATAACTTTAAAGCTAGTGAAGTTTATCCACTTTCACTGCACAGGATGCAAATTAAAAAAAAAAAAAATGGCTATCACGAATATTTTGAAAGCAGAGAAACAGCAAGTAAGCCTGCAGTTCATCATTATAAGAGAAAAATGTAGTTTTTCAACAGTCACATAGGAAAGTCCAGTTCTGCTGGAAGTATTGGCCCCACCTGCCCAAGAATGACATCTACAGTATGCTGACAAAATAATTAAAAACCTGTTGAAGCGATGATGACACTTACAATGCGAATCATAACTATTTGCACTAAGGAAAATATCATTCATTTAGTTATTGGGAAAAAAAAAAAAAAGAAAAAAAGAAAACAAAAGATTATCTTGATGACTCCCCCTTCAGTACTGTGAACTTAACATCTCCCAGGACTACTAAAAAGAATCGAAGATTTTCTGAACAAGAAATCAGCAGCAAGAACATAGCATCATAAACATTCCACTCAATTGAGACAGACGAACATGTTAAGCAACTTTGGAAAATTTTCTTTGCTCCATTGCTATTACAAGAGAAAAGAACAGAACAGCAATTGTTCATCAATTCTCACCCAAGAAATTTCTATACGACCATCTATTGTTCATAAAATTCTCCCAGAGTATTTTGCTCTTTACATAAGTAGAAGTCATACCCTACAGCGAAAACTACAGAGACCGTCAAATAGATCCTGGCTATTCCAAACTTTGTACATCTCATTACCACAGGCAAGTGTCTTCCATAATTTAATTTTGATGATGAATCTCCAACCTTAATCTAGCATGACCATATACATTCATAAATCGTAAGCCGAGGCTGTTATAGATGATTGAGGTAGCCCATCTATCACATTCAATTGTCTTCTCAGCTTAATAATATGAGCTTGCACCTATCACATTTTGTATACCATCAGAAACACATCTTGGCTAAAGAAAACTAAGCTGTCCACAAAATGATACATGCAAGCAGACAAGATGGAATTCAAAACCAAACAAATGCCACTCAAGTGGAGTTATCATTTATTAATAATATATGCAATAAACTGCCTATTTCATGCACCTGTCACAAAGATAAGATATCATCAAACCATGAGAATATTTCTTCTAGTACAGAGTTAGATTAGGAAGCAACCAATCAAATTAGGCATATCTCTTTTCTACAAACACAAATCAACATGGAATCAACTGAGTACAAACTTTTTAGGGTTTAAAGCCTAAGCAAGATAACGAATAAACAGAAAGCAGCGAAGAAGAGAAGATCACCATTAGCATCATTTCAAAGATGATGCATTGATGTATATTTTTTTGATAAATATCATCACAATTCTCAAAAGAGAATAATCACCAGACAATTATAAATTGTTTTACCAGTTTAAATAAAATAAAGACATGCTAACCTGCTGACGAGCTGCTGCAAGTTTCAAAAGCTCATCTGCCTCTGAAAAATTCAAGAACCAGTGGCTCAGTGGATGATCTTTGGTGTCTCCTCTCTCCCTTTCTTTCAGATTTTCAATTGGAACTACAAATGCCCAAACAAATATTTACCATGTAAAACTGTAGCAAGGGAAAATTTTGTGAAAACTGTGCAGCCTATGTTACTTAGATACTTCTCCATGAAGAATTCAAATCTAACACTTCAACATGGATAAGCATATTGGTGCAGGACAATTAGAAATAAGAACACATCCTTAAGTATTGAAAAGTTCAATGCTTGGACATGTTTTCATTCTCACCGGAACATAGGTCCATGCAATAAAGAAAGCAGAAAGAAACTTTACCAGGAGTAGGCAAGTTAAATCCAGCAGGCAGCCGAGGCACAATTACAGCTGGATGATTCTGCACACGGGTGAAAAAGCTTTCAGAAGGATCAGGAAAGACAATCTCATTGTAAGATTCCACTACAACGGGCTTCTTGGTTGACTGTGGACCTGTTTCATCTTCAGGGTACAATTTCAAATGGTGATACCTGCAGAAATTGAACTGATAGTGGTAATCAGCCAGTCCTGTCAATTAAATGAAGGCAGTAACATATGATAACGACTCACAAGTCCAACTGCTTATCACAGACATCACTATGGAAGACAATGGTGATGACAATTTCAAATTCACCCCACCCACATTCTGATAATTCAAAAGGAGGCGATTCTACCACTCTTGTAGGGTTATTAAAACTGGGATGCAATTGGAACACAACTCTCTTTATGACTGCCCCGAGATCTTCATTTGTCACCCCACGTACATAGACTGTCCACTTATGTGACTGGGACCTAATCAACAGAGAAAGAACAAGTAAAACCCATGTAAAATAGGACAAATAACAAGGCAAAAAGTTCAAACGTTTGTGCTAGTTTTATCTCAATTTTAATTATTTACTTTGATTGTGTAAAATTTGCCTAAACTTATGATATCAGTAACAATATTACCAATTTAGAGAACTGAAACCAGAATATACATATAGATCATACATATACATGGTTTCTATTTCTTTCCAGTGCAGATGATAAAAAGTAGGGGTGTGCATGGGTCGGGTCGGGAATTACATAATTCTTAGCCTCATCCCAAAATACCAGAACATAAGAAATACAGTCTTAGTCGCGTCCTATCCATCCCATTTTGTAGGGCGGGACAGGACATGAATTTGGGTCGACAGAATGGGACAAAATGGATTGGGTCATAAATCAATCAAGTTTTCCCGTAGTCGACTAAATTATTTTTCACCAAAAAAAATCATCAAATTATTATATTTAACAATTACAATCAAACAAAATTCATCAACACAAATTTGAGTTAAAAAAAATCAAATAATTAATTCAATCATTGATGATTTACTACTAAAGTCATAATAGAAGATTTGTTAGTTGTTACTTTCTAGTTAATAAAAGCGTTAAATATAATAAAATAAAATAATTCAAAAACGATATACAATTTTACTTTACATGTACTTCATGAATTTTAACTCATTATTGTTTGTTACTAATGTCTTTAAGCTGATATAAATTTTGATACTTAATTGATTTAATCAGAAGATCATGTGAAAAATAAATAATAATAGCATTAAGCATAACTTATAAACCAGTATTTCGATTAATTACAGTCAATGTCTTCTCTTGTATTGATTAATTTTTTTTGTTTAATAGTAAAAATTTATTCAAAAAGATTTACTTAACACATATAGCAGAATAATAGAGGAAAAATCTATGTTGAAAAATATGTTTAATTAATTGATTCATTTTATATTTAGAAAAATGCTTTTTTCATATTATTATTAACTTTAACAAGTAATTAGAGTCATAAGAAAAACTAAAAATATAAAGGTTGACATGATTTTAATGGACATGATTTGAGATTCATATAAAAAAAAGAGGCACCTAGAATTTTAAAGAAAAACTGAGACAAGAATACACAAATTTTGGGATGGGATGGGATGAAACTTAGGTCAGTTTTAATATTGGGTTTTTCGGGACGGTTTTCGGGAGTGGGCTAGGATTCCTGCACGGGAAGTTCGGGACGGATTTCGGGAATGGGTTAGGATTCCTGCAGTTCCGTGCACACCCCTAATAAAAAGTATGAGTTTTCTTAAACTTTTTCTCTGTCACAAAAACTAATAATTGTTTTTATTTATCAGTTAAAACAATACAGTTTTTGAAAGAAATTAATACTTTATATTTAATAGCATCACAAAACGCAAGGAAAAAATATTTTTTTTTTGTGAATGTGATAGATATGTAGACTTTGTATGTAAATTGCATATCAGCAATCTCCCCCGCTTAATTAGCTAAATTTGTCTTTGAACTTTAGGGTTTTATCCATGTGGCACCCTAAAGTTTTCAAGAGACCCAACATGCTCCTGAAATTGCAATTTTTGTTATAGAACAGCACCTTTAGGGGCATATGATAGGTCTCTAAAAATTGTTACTAAGAAATGCACCCATCAACCCCAAGGTGCAAGGTTACTAAAAGTTACAAATTCAGCGGCATATAGTGGATCTCTCGAAACTTAAGGATGCCACTGGGCAATTTTTTGCATTAGACCACTAAAATATATTAGCATAGCAAGACTGCTAAAATTGACAAAATTAAACAGCTTACTAAATTGAAAAGGCATGCAAATATATGGAGTTTTCAGTCATTTAGCCAGAAAAATATATTATAGGAATTCAAAAAAGAGGGGAAAGCAGGTGGAGTTGGAAGGTAAACTACAATGCAAAGAGAAGAAAGCACTTACTCACTGGCCTTTCGACCAAGGTAAAATGCAATTGTTCCATGTACCACAGGAACACTTATTTCAACATCTTTAATTCTCCTGTTTGCAACCTAAGCAAGGGGAATGCAAGAAACATGCTATCAGGAAGAGCACACCATAAATCCTATTAATCCCAAAAGTAAAAAGTCAAAATTAAAAAAGAATCAGAACTGTCCACGTATATACTCATACTAGATTTAGTCAGAAATAGAACAGAACGACGACATATCTTTTTCAATATTTACAATTTTTTCAGCTAATTAATCACAGAAGTGAAAATACACAGCTAAAGGAAGAGAACTTCAAGCCAATTACAATTAAAAATTGAAAAAAAATGGTTGCAATCAATAGTTAAGCATGAAGTGAGCACATGGATTTGGGTTTTGGATCAGATATGAAAAGAAAAATGTTACCTTTTTGTCGCCATCTTCAATTCTGATGCGCTGTGGCGTTGCGGGTGACCCATCATCTTCCGGTTGGGTCTCGCTTGCTGTTGGTCTAGCCGATAATGAGGCTGCAGTGTGCATTTCAGCCTTCCGTCAATCTTAACTCGAAATGAAGCAAATTAGAGCTCGGAAATTGCAGCATTCACAGACACGGGTTTCCACGGTCGAATAAGGGGTTAGGTTTTTTTTTAAATATTTATTTTTTAGCAAGTAAAAAGTAAAAGAAAAGGTACTTTACAGTGCGTGCAAAGGAAGGTATACCCTAATTTGTTTCATTTAATTGATTTAATAAATGATATTTCTATGCAGTGCCAAATAATTATTTTTCAAAAACAAAACTGTGTATTATCTTTTTCTCTCCTATAGTGTTCTTTTAGATTTGTTCTTCGAGCCACTGCGTATGATAAGCTTCAAAGAGAATAATTCGAAGAAGAAGGGATAAAAAAGAGAAGAACTCATAAGAAGAAACTATTAGAGAATTCCTATTAAACTTATGCAAAATACCATAATGAATACGATATTACAATAGAGTGTGAAACCAAAGAAGATCGTCACAGGATGATACCAAAGCTTGTGGTAGTTAGCGATAAGCGTCTCATGGCTAGAAGATCAGGTAAAGAGCCTCAGTTCAGGTCAAGAAAGGCTCCTTAAATAGATGAAGGAATTAATGGTGTCAATGAACTCTCGGCTGAATGTGTTGAAAGCAGGATCCATGAAAAGGAATCGGAGACCACACTGACAAGGTCGTGTTGAGAATGTATATGAAGCTTGTTAAGCTAGATTTTTCATGCCATAATGGTTTAGAAGACCCAAGTCTGTGGATTTGTCAAAGCAAAGCAATTCTTTAATTTCAAGGAATCACTCACGAGATCAAGTTAACCTAGCAACTATGATCGCAACGAATCAAGTATCCGCTTAAAATATACTATTTGAACTCGACTATAAATTAAATGCCTTTAATATCGAAACTCATCTCAAAATCAATTATAATTAATCGTTTAACATTAAAAATATTTTTTATTTCATTTTTTTAAAAATAAAAAAGTGAATAAAAATTATAAAATTATAATTTTGATTTAATAAAAATATAATATAATTATTAAATATTATTAAATACAATTATAGTATTAATTATAATTATATATATATTTTTTAAATATATATTTGAAAGGCGAAGGTTCTCCCTGAACTTATAATTAACTTTTATTACTTGAAATCCATTCCATATCTAATTATAATTATCCATTTAATATCTGAAGTCATTTATATATCCATTCAATATTAAAATATTATATTATTTTTATTTTTTAAAAATAAAAAATTGTAAAATTCTACTTTGACTTAATAAAATATACAATATCTATACTAAATATAATTATATTACTAATTATAATTAGAAAAGTAGGTTTGGTTTTTTAAATAATTATGTTTAAGACATCCAAAGGGTCGGGTAAAAATTGCCATCGGTAGAGGGGCCAGTTTTAGGCAGCCAAAACAACTGCCGTTTAGTAGTAAAATTAAACTCTTCTCTTTACACAAGACCGCCTACGTCGCCACCAGAGGTGCGATATACCAGAGTTATCAGGGGCTCCCATTCCCCTTCTTCCACCGCACAACCACCACTACCACCAACCTTTGGCCCCTTTCTGCCTCTTTATCGTCCTCAATGGCTGTGAGTACTTGTTTGAATGCTTTTTTTCCTTTCTTATTTTTCTTTATTTTCTTGTATATGTCCAGAGTTATGTTCTTCGATTAGGTTTTTGGTTCATAGACATTTCTGATTCCCTGATTTTTTTCTCGTGTTAATATTGCAGACAATACCAGTTAATCCTAAGCCTTTCTTGAACAACTTGACTGGGAAAACTGTTATTGTAAAACTCAAGTGGGGTATGGAATACAAAGGTACGGTTACTTGTTGTTCTTTCTTTATTTAGTTTTATTTTTTTAATCTCAGTATTCTTTATTTTGTTCTTGTCCTTAGATTTTGGTTGTCTTTCAGGTTTTCTTGCTTCAGTGGATTCTTACATGAACCTACAGGTTCTGCCTCAACTGCAAATTTCTAGTTTACTTATTTTTCTTTAGATTATTTCATGTGCTTTTCAAATTTAAAGGCTTTGATGGGCTAATCTTTTTTTTTTTTTTTTTTTTTACTTTTACTTTTTGCTTCTTTTTTGAGCTTTTTTTTTTTTTTTTTTTTACTTTTTGCTTCTTTGAGATTGTATTTTACAATGGCAAAGCCAAAAGGCAAGCAAATTAAATGGAATCTTAGTTTATATGTTATGTTAATTGTAAAAACCTAAGAAAAAGGAGTAATTTACTCTGAGGAGGATTGTTTTCTCTGTCTTTTGGAAGATCGTTTTATTGAAAAAGGAAAAGGTTTGCTCTGCATTTGAGGTTAATCTGATCATAGGGGACTTGGACATGTGATTTTAACCTAGTTTCTCGTAATATTTGAGTAACTGAAACTTGAAAGGATAACTTATCTGCTATAGAGATTTTTATTTGTTTCATAACCTCATCAAGTTCTTTGAAGATGTTGTAGTTCAAAGATGGTCGAGAAACCAATTAGTTAGGTATTGTATAAATACTGATAGATTCTGTTCTTGCCTTGACATTTTTTTTCTAGATAATGTTGAAAAGAATATTAGGTGAAGTTTTGATTTGTAACTAGACATGCCTCAGTCGAATTTGTTGGTGCAAATGGAAATATTAACTGACCATGCTCTGAATTGGAAAGCGCTAGCTGGTCAAGAAGATAGCTCGTAAGATGTAATGTTGTAAGCTGAGCAAGATAAAAACCTTCTAAATATCATTATATAACATATAAAATTCCAAATGAACCTATTTTGCTTTTGGATTCTTGTATGAAATCTAGGATTTTAAAGTGTAGAGCACATATGAAGTGACACATATTTTGAAGTAGTTTGAAATACATCATATTTTAGCCTTTGAATTTGATTTGCATTTCATTTCAAATTTAAATCCATAAACAATTAACAAACCAAGCAATGAATTTTAATCCAATTCAAATTCAAACATTCAAAAATATTAACCCAGATGCAAAACAAAGTCACTTAAATTCTCTTCCATACTACTAAAATTGCATATAAGATGCAACTTATTAATATTATTGACCTTGGAAGAAGTGCATAATAATTGAATCGTTGATTGATTTTTGAATGATGCCAACTTAAATTATGGTGAATAAAAAAAGATTCCTGACAATGCAGTGTAGCTATACAATGGGTCTAGGTTTTGTTCATATCCAGTTTTCCAATGCTTTTCACATGTGAGGTTTAAGTGTGGAGATGCTGAGAACCTAAGAAATGAAAACACTTTTGTTAGTTAGATGAAGTTTTTTCTAATGTCTAATCCCATCAACTTGATTGTCTTGCATGTTGATTCTTATTTCTCATATTTAGTGAGATTGCTTCCTTGACTTTTCTTATGGACTTCTGAAGGTAGGTGCTCAATTGTGCTTGTAGTGTGAAGGAATGACTCGATGTAGGGGGAATTTTTTGTAGAATGTTTTAGAATTGAAACCATCTTCGATGAACTTTTCGCTACAGGGCCCTCAGAGACAACATTTCATATGTCTCAGGGTCCATATACGACCGTCCTCTTGAGTTTGTTGATTGATTTCCATGTTGACCTGTCATGTCCTGTGATAATGAGTGATTCAGTTCTTTATTTTAGCTTATTTATTACATTGAAAAATGCAAACATTTAATTGACATTAAGCTAGGGGATGCAAGTTCAATGACGGTTAATGCTGTTTTGGAGCTACCTAAGTTGCAGTATCCTTTGGAAGCCAATGCAGTTAATTTTTTCTTTTTGTTGGTGTTGGTCTATGAAATTAGCACATACAGACAAATAAATTGCCTGTTAATTATCCTGTGATCATTGATCAATGCCTATGATTGAACCCAACCGATATATCACTGCTTAATAACCACCTGATCAGCTTCAGAATAAAGCATACCGTGCTCAAAGAGAAAAAACGGGTAACTTATCGTGCACAAATGGACCAATCTGGTATACTTTTCAGGACAACATTTTCTCTGTTCAGGCAGGGGCATCCATCCACTATCAAAATTGCATGCCTTTTGAACAGTTCAATTATCAGTTTGAATGCATCTTGTTTTTTTCCATAAACTAGTGGAAATATGCCATGGAAAAAATAGAATAGAAAAATTACATTGTGCATTGGAATATTATTTCTGCAACTTGAAGGAGGGAT